TAAAGAAATCTCACCATTCCACAGCTGAAAGAAACTTAACAGGTCTGAACAACACATAACATATTACAGAGTGTCATCTTTTATTTAACAGAAATTAACCCAAGAATACAGGAGCGTGTGAAAAACTAAATACACTTTGTTGCTTCCATAGACGCTAACAGTCTAAGTATTTGCTGCTAATTGTGAGCACCTCTATAAAAGCCAAAGCTTTGACAGTTTGCTGGTCTGGAGGATTCAGTTGTGTGTTAACACAATGCCACAGAGGATGGACATCAGTGACCTTAGAGAAGCGACTGTTGCTAACCATCAGTCTGAGAAGGGTTACAGTATAAGGTCATTTCCAAACAATTTAGTCGACCATTCTGCAGTGCGAAAGATTATTCATACTGTACGTGTAAAACATTCAAGAAAGTTGGCATTTTTGTCAGGAGTTGAGGTCAGAGAAACCCAAGAGCTACATCTCAGCAAACTCTGAGTCTCAGTTAAATGTTAAAGTTCATGACAGTAAAATGAGAAGGACGCTGAACTAGCATGGCTTGTTTGGAAGAGCTGCTATCAGAAAGTCTCTTCCCTCTCAAAAAAATAAAAATACAGCAACATAGTTTAGGTTTCCAAAGCTGAATCTGAACAAACGACAAGACTTTGTCCTTTGGAAACAAATTGGAGTACAAATTGGATGTTTGGCCATAATGCGCAGTGCCACCATCACAGCATGCCAACACAAACACCTCACACCAACTGTCACAAGCGCAGTGGTGAAGGAAGGGCTGGTGATTTGGGCTTGTTTTGCTGCCACAGGATCTGTGCACCTTGCAGTCACTGAGTGCTACATGAAGTCCTCTGTATACCAAAGTATTCTAGAGTCAAATATGTCTGCTAGCCAAAACTAAGTTGAAAGTAGGCCATGGAAGAGGACAGTGATTCCAAAAACACTGAAAGATTTATAACAGAATGACTGAAAAAGAAAAAGAATCAAGGTGTTGCAATGACCCACTTAAAGTCCAGACCTCAAACTGATTGAAATTCTATATCAGAACCTTTAGAGTGTTGTGCATAAATTAATGCTTGTAAGCATCAACGCATTAAAGCACTGTAAAGAATCATAGACCAAAATGTGTCCACAAGGATGTGAGGGACTGATAAAGTCATTCAGGACATTATTACTTAATTAAAAAGGTGAATGATGGGGTGTACAGTACTTACCTTTTTTACAATGCTTTTGCATTTTGTCTAAATCTTTGTTATACAAGTCCGGCTGCAATATGTGTTGCTATCTGAGGTTGCAATTAAATCATTTTAGAACCTTATCAAAACCAGATGTATTGTCCAGTCACTTCGATGGATTCTGCAAAAAGAGAGAGAGAAACAAAGACAGTGTTTAATGTTACAGGTTCACACAGATTGGAGGATTTTTTTCACAGCAGATATCATGCTTCTAAATGCATTGGAACACTTTGGTTTGCTCTTTTGTTTGGCTTGTGACTGCTGTGTTTCGGGTTTGGGATTATGGATGACCTCCTTACTCTGATCTTTGCCTGAAGCGATGTTGCAAACCGTGACTCGTCTGTCATCACTGTTAATCTCCAACCATTTGTGTTTGTACAGTGAATGTGTGTGTTTTGATGGTAAAGCTTGGACACAGACACACACACACACCAGCAGGAGGAGGAGGATGCATTTTGGTGCCAGGCCCTCCAAAACTTGGCATCACCATCACAAAGCAAAAGAGATGGAAGAGATGAGTCTCTTTGGAAATGGCAGAGCGCCACCTCTGAGGATCTGTGCTGTGTTGGATCACCTCCATGGTGCTTCAGGACTACAGCTCGACCGGCTTTTAAAGCCAAATCTGACCACTATTTTTGGAATGGAGGAGTTTATCATATGAGATTTTGTTCAAATGTGCACCATGTTTAATTAGATCCAGTAAGACCTAAAATGTGTATTCATGCGTGTTCCTTCAATTCTTATCAAAGATTTTTTAAAAAGATCCTCAGAGGTGTTTAAAAACTACTGAAAGAGCTTGTTTTTTAATCGGATTGGTTAATGTCTTCACCTTTAAAAAGCCAATCAAAACAAAATGCATCACCTGCTAAACGTATTACTGTTTTAAAGAAAAGCTTTGTTTCTTTTTGATAAAGAACCAACTCAAAGTATCATGTTTGCTTTCAAGAAGCAACTAACCTTTATTTTAAAAATTGGACATACTTTCTTGTAATTATGAGGAATATGTTTCTTAAAATTATTTGGTAACATTCAGATCTTCAGGATGTGAGAAATGATAGCCACAGACGTTTCTGGAGACCTACAGCATTTAACCCATTCTGTTCCCGGTCTGTGCACTTACTGCAATTTTTTAGCTGGCTTTCTTAACTGGGTTGCTACATTGATACAGTAGTAGTATCAATGTATGTTGCCTCACAGCAGGAAGGTACAGTCTTGAATCCAGGGTGGGGCGTTTTTAAAAATACTTTGCATCTTCTCCCTGTGCCTACACCTGTTCCTTAATTTTAGGTTAATTGATTCTATGGTATTAGTGAAAGGCTGTGATAGACACCTATCCAGGGTTTACCCTGCCCCATGGTACCTGAGATAGCCATGTGACCCTAAGTGAACTGTAAGACTTTCACTAATATTAGACATACTATTATTGACCAACATTGGAGATTGGAGATATATATATATCCAGTGAGTGACTTGATAGTGACTCGACTATCACAAGGGAAAAGAGCATATTATTATCTCATATTCTACATGAACTGGCACGCATCATTTTCATTTATATAATCGCCATTGCTCACACTCTGCCACAGAATATTTTCCTGGTTAGATTATTGGACTATGCTGTCATCCTGTGGCGTGTTCAGTGTAGCACATGAATCAAGCCCAGCGGTCAAACCCCATATTTGGTCCAATTTGTCAGAAACTTTATATAAAAGATCACAGGAGATTTTTTTTAATAGGATGAGATCAAAAGCCAGTAAATCAGAATATGACATCAGAGATAAATATCAAAACAAATTATTTGAAAATTGGTTATAAATTAGGTGAGTTATGGTGATTTTTTTATTGTGGACAGTGCTCCTTCCTCCTACCATATGCGTACAACATGGCAAACACAATGAAAAAATGCAATTGTAGATGATTTATTGTATTGAATGAAGAATTAGAAAACAATGTCTCACGTGTCCTTTCTTTTAAATCAAATAATTTATAAAGTTAAGGAAGAGTAAGCAGTCCATAATCCATAATCCATAAGCAGTCCATTGTCCATAATAAGCAGTCCATAAAAAAATTAACTCTTTCAGGTCTATGATAAGCACAATTCAATTAAATTCAGTTCAATTAGATTTTATTTACACAGCACCAAATCACAACAACAGTCGCCTCAAGGCGCTTTATATTGTAAAGTAGACCCCACAATAATACATACAGAGAAAAACCCAACAATTATATGACCCCCTATGAGCAAGCACTTTGGTGACAGTGGGGAGGAAAAACCTGCCATTTAACAGGAAGAAACCTCCAGCAGAAACAGGTTCAGGGAGGGGCGGGGCCATCTGTCACGACCGGTTGGGGTGAGAGACAGAAGACAGGTGTGGAAGAGAGCCCGAGATTAAGAGCAAGAGCATTTAATGTGCATTAATATAATATTTGATGTGAAACATGCATGGTGTTTTACAAATTTACTAACCCCAGCCAGTGTAAAGTTTATGCCACAGCTGCCCAAAATTTTCAATATTCAAATGAGCATAATCATTGTTTATGTTTCTGTAATGGTTAATCCATCAGTATGCACAAAGTCTTTAATCAAAATTAAAATGTGAATGCTAAAATGTAATTATTGTTATTATCCATGAATTTTGTAAATTGTCTGTCTCCCTCCATGGTCCAGGTCTTTCATGTTTCTTATGTATCTTGCATCATGCTCCATGTGTTCAGTGTTTAGTTTCACTCAGTTTGGTTAGTTGTCTTGACGTCCTTTTGCCTTTGTTTTGTATCTTTATTCAGCTGCAATAAAATGGCTCACTTTTTGTTAAGATCCAATTTTGCCTCCTACGTCTGCAGGACAATATGTTTTCTGACAGGTGACCCAGTAAATTTAGGCCAGCGCCAAATTAATTTTTGTCCATTGTTGCGGTCTGAGACCTCTATGTCAAGCTCCATTTGTGTAACCTGTGAGAGTCCTGCTGTCCTGATACCATGATTCAGGTAATCTCAGATTTGATGTTACTGGCTCCCAGTTATAGTATATATAGTATACAATAAGTTGATAATGATTATTCAAGATTGGGAGGTCCACCAGAGTCACAAATGATCTGGAGATCACTAAAATGGAGAGGCTGTCTCAATCTGCCGAGGCCATGGAAAGAAAGGTCACAGGCCGGTGTCCTGTATGACAGTTGAAAACCAGATCCCACAACCTGAGACTATTAGCTTACCTTCCTTTTGACCCTTCTGATGCTCCTCGGAAGCTTTGGTGTCCTCGTCTGTGCTGTCGTCTTCTTTCCTTAATGTTGGGCTTTCCTCCACCTCATCTGCTGATAGCACCATGTATGACTCTACTGTAACATTCTGTTCTTACTCTTATAAAGAACATCTTCTTAAACTGCTTCTTCTTCTTTCATGTTTAACGACAGCTTAGATCCAAAGATGTTGCACTACTGCCATCTCCTGGCTTTTATTCTTACTTCACTTCCGAATCCTCAGATCCTCTTGATGAGACCAGTATTTCTCAAAAAACAGAACCGCCCCTTTCCCTTCACCATGACTTAACTGATTAACCACAGTCCCATTCCACCACCTCATCACTCTCCTGTGACTTGGATACTTCCTGCAACTAATAAGCACATGTTCAACCGCTTTGTCACTTAGATGTTTCAACATAACATAACCATACCTCATCCTTCGCTGGAGCACTATTCCTGGTACTACCCAGAGCTCTTTTCAGTTCTCCAATAGAAAAGGG